TTTTTTTTTGACAATAAATAATACATTTGAAAATTTCTAATTTATTTCAATGTAAGCAATTAATTTAAATTATTTGTAATAATTAATTTAGGAATGATTTGTTTATAAAAAATCTCGTTTTCTTTATGCACCGATAATAATGCAGTTTTCAAATAAAATCATCTTTTATTATTATTCAATACTTTATGTGAATTAATAAATATATCAACCCATTTTGGAATTTTACGTACACCACACGGTTTTATGTGAATTGTATGGAAAAATGGCATAATAATAGCTATTTTGTATGTATAGAATAATACTAAAAAAATTAAGTAATAGTCTCTTAATAGTTTTTTTTTTTTTTTTCGTGCAACCAGCCACAATTCCCATTGAAGACTTTTTAAAAAAAATATAAATACGTATTTTTGAAACAAAAAATAATTTGTCAGCTAATGGATTAATAATGTCGAATTATAAAAATATCACAAATATAAATTATTGAATTATAGAATTTAATTTTGTCGCGTTTAGAAAACTTTGAAACTTCAATCATTAGACGTCAGCTATCTTCGAAGCAACACCACAAACGTTATCTAAGAACTTAGAAAAAAAACAAAAAAATATAAAAAATAGAAGAAAAAAAAGAGAAATAAAATCGAATTAGTAAGTTCATATTTTAAAATAGATCGGAAAATGAAGAAACGTTAAACGTTTGTCTCTTAGTAACTGTTAGTAACATAAAATATAATATGTATATATATATATAAGAAATGTTGTGTGAAAGTAAATACGTAAAGGAAAGCACGTGGCGTAAGTTTATTATCGCATTGTCGAGGAGAGTTAGTTATTACGTTATTTCTTCTCTAATTAGACGAAATAAAATGACGGCATTCTTGAATCATCGTCGTAATATACGCATACCGCTTTCTCAATCGGCGAACGATTTCTTCTTATCTTTTGTAATTCGACGAATCCTTTAACATAAGAGTAACAGAGAGACAGACAGAGAGAAAGAAAGAAAGAAAAAAAACATGGACGGAGTATGGGAAGTTAAAGAAGAAGAAGAAGAAGAAGAAGAAGAAGAAGAAGAAGCAGAAGAAGAAAATGATGATATATAGATAAAGATGAATTGAAATACAACATGGAGAATAATTAAAAGAATAAAAATGATAAGAACGAAAATAGGAAATAATAATATTGAAAACTTGAGATGACAAATAATACGAGAAAAAGATAGTTTAAATATAGATGACAATTGTAGATGAATTTTATATACAAGATGGCGGATGAGATAAGAAGAAGGATAAATGGGATAGAAAAAAGAAAAGAAAAATATTAAAAAACGTGAAAATAAGGCAAAATAATAATAATAATAATAATAATAATAATAATAATAATAGACAGAGATAGAGATAGATAATTATTCTTAGGAATGTGTAACCATTAGTTAAACGGAAAGTTACGGATGCGATATACTCGAGTATAATACATGTAATTCAAAAGAGAAGAGGCCTATGAGATATTTCAATTGGATAGTCTGTCCCGATGATGTTACACTCGCGATGCATCAATTCCTTCCACGCCCATTGAATTGATTTCTCCCTGACTCTCGTAGACTCTTGGTCGCCTTTTCAAGTTACTAACCATATATACATACACACGCATACATATAAAGCTTTCTCTCTTTTTCTTTCCTTTTTCTTTTTTTTTTTTTTAATTTCTTAGTACAGTGATCCGTTCCAAGAACGATTGAGACCTCCTTGCGTAGTTTCTATCTTTCTATCTCTCTTTGATGCACTTAAAATGTACTCTCTCTTTCACATTTTTTTTTTTTTTATATCTTTTTTTTTTTCTCAACAAACAGTTTCCTGCAAAACAGAAAATCTTTTTTTCCCCTCGTATGTCTCGACACACTGTTTACGTGTTTTTTGTTTTTTTTTTAACTATTATTCTTTTTATTATTTCAATGTTTGTTTGTCATTGGAATGATCTTATTTTGTATTTTGTTAATGTTATATACAAATTATATTGTACTTTTCAGATGGATTCAAGAGTGACATCGTACTTTGGTGTAAATTATTATTACCTCAAGCAGGAAATAAAAGAGTTTACAATTTACAAAGTAAACAATTGATCAAATTGTTCGCACGTATATTATGTCAAGACGAAGAATCAATGTTAGAAGATCTCGAGAATGGTGATATTGCTGAAACTATTCGTATATTTTTTGACAGTAGTACCGCTGTCACTCCTTCGAACAAAAGTTTACTCACAATACAAGAGGTAAAATGAATATTTTAATATATATAT